ACCTATCTATACATTTATATACTCTTTTTGGGTATTTCAATGACTGTGTCACAATCCTAAAAATGTGTGTAGCTTAAAAATAACGTGCTTCTCTGGGATTGTGTGTCTGCCTCTGTTCAGCTTTGTTCCATGCTCAACACTGGTAAATTCTGGTTTTTCTTTATTCTTCCCTAATCTAGAAATTGCCAGCTATGAAAAGCCTCCTAATTCCTGTTTGTAACATGTTCTGCTGTAACTTGAATTAAACGCAGTGCAGCTGGGAGTAGTCTTGGCCAAACAATACATGGCATAAATTATCTCTATCTGGAGTGTCTGACTAGATAGCATAATCAACAGGAGGCTGACAAAACATCACAGTTGTGCTGCTGTTGCTGACAACTTCATTATTTCTGTGATGTTCAGCTGGGTAATTTGTTTCTGATGAACAAATTATGTTATAGGGGGATAAGGATCTTGGGGAATGAATATCTTCAGATATGTGCAGTGGTCTTATGTACTTTTCCATGCTTTCTGAAGATAGATCTGTTGGCACAAATTTAGAGGGGGGTCCTAATCTGGAGAACAATTACAGGGATCATCAGCAAAGAGTGTTCTGCTCTGTGTTGGTTCTGAAGTAGGGCAGCATTCCCATCGAGCAAGGCTGGTGCACACCTCTTGGTAGGTATATCCTACAAGATCTCTTGTGGATCCCTAAGGGAACAGCAGCTGCTCTTTGATTCCTCGGTTCAAACAGGAAGGTGGTGGACTTCTCACACCAAGCTATTTCTACCTTAACATACACTCCAAATGATCCCAAATGACTAAGTAGCATTTTGCAGCTCAGACACTCCAGATCTGATTCTATTCCACTGCAGCCAGGAATTATTATACTCAGGAATTTTCCAATTAAAAAGACTGGGAGAGGACAGGAGGGGAGACACTGTGACTGTACAGGAAAACATGCCATCTTTAAAGAATTCGGAGCAAACAGTCCTGGTTTTCTGCTAGTTCATCTAAAACCAGACCCAGAGACACAAGCAGCAAGCCCTCAGCTCCAAGGCTGCCCTACAGATTGCCCCAAAGCTGAAGGACTCCTGACCTCCACATCCCTTCCTCGGGAAGTGGGAGCCTGCAAGCCCCAAGGTGCTGGTGCATCTGCCAAGCTCAGCCCTGCAGCAGAGCCCGGGTGTGCTGAAATGCAGGTTGTGCTGAGAGGAGCACAGGTTGGGAGCCCTGGATACAGCAGAGAGCCTGGAGGAGCCAGGGCTGCCAAGCTCAGCTCCATTTAGTCCTTACATCACGGGCGTCTCAAATATTTCAAAACACTCAGGGAAATTATTTCATTGGGAAATTTTCTAAACTTAGTCCAAACACAATTTTTTTTTTTCTTCACTCACAATTTCAGAATTTCTTGAGTTTGATCACGTCTGTGACTGATGAACTGGGAAATATTTGTCTTTTTTTACAAGCATACTGAATACCTCTGTGTCTCTGTGGATAATAGGTTATTTGCTGTGGATTTGGATCAAGAACACTGGCTAAAGGAACTGGTGAAACAGTAAGACTCAGATCAATGTCCTTGAGGAAACACAAGAAACCAGGGAATAGGACAGAGAATTAACAAATTGGCAAAGGGGTATGTGTGAAAGATGATAGGTAAACAAGGAGCCAGAGAGGCAGCAATTGCCAAAACCAGAATTGGAATTTACTACAGTACCTTATATATATAAATGCTTGCAAGAAATTATGAGGGGGGGCAAAGAAAGATATACTTTTATAGGCTTTGGGGAGGGAGGGGGGTGTTTTTATTTTACCTTTCCCACTGAATACTTTTGACTGTATGAAAAATCACCCCAATATTTTGTTTTGAGGAACAGAGTCATTTTAACCACCTTTGCGGTCACGGATTTTCAAAATGAGAGAGTGTGCAATGCCAGACAGAGTTATCCTGACCACGCTACTTTGGGAGAGGGGCTGGAGAGCCCATTTTCAGGTATCCAATCTGCCTGGCACCATTGCCTGATATCAGATCTGACCACTGAGCAATATTTGCTCTTTGAGGGGGATTATGAACAGCCTAAAACACGGCTTTGTCTCTTATGGTGATGAGAGCTTTGTTATGGACTGATCTGGAAGAAAAGTCAGGCTCCATGTGAGATCCTTTGCTCCAAACTTCCCACCCAGTTTCCAGACTATTGGTCTACCAAATGTGGTTGGTTTTTTTTTTCCCCAAACTGAGTCTATGCGATATAAAACATGGGAATGTTTCTGGGGATGGAGGACGTGGGATGCCATCTGCAAGGAAGAGCTGGACACCGTGCGCTGGGGACAAGGCGGTCCCTGTGTGGCCGCTGCTCCAGGGACCACTCCAGGATTTTGGAGAACTGGGCGAACGCTGCCACCTATCGATGGAGGACGCGAAAACCTGGGACGCGGAGCAGCGCTGAGAGCTCCTCATCCCTCGCCTCCCTCATCCCAGAAACGTCCCAGGGAAGAAACGAGCAGAATTTGCTAAATGGAGCTAATGGCCAATACAACAAGAAGAATATCCACGGCGCATAAAGCTGAGATCAACAGAGGGTGAATGTCTTGGTGACAGTGTCGGTGAATCAGACAACTTGGGTGGCCTCTCGCAACGAAATGTCCCCTTAAACAAACATCTTCACAAAAATGTGGAGCTTTAGCAATAGGAATAATAGCAACAACTTGTGGAATAAGCTCACGGTGGGCACTGCAGGTAGTGAACTTTTAGAGTCATCACTCGTGGAATGAAAATCTCTATAAGCCAGCAGTGTGAGTGTAGCCAGCAAAATACTGTTTGACTGATAAGTGTGGAATATCAGCAAGTACAGCAATAAATGGCTGACATCTCTGAGTCATCTCATGGAAGCATCAAAGGCTTGAGAACAAACAAATTTCAGTACAAGATCAGACTAATAGATCTGCTTCCCTGTGTTTATCATAAACCCAGGTGTTGATTTTCTGCAGGTCTTTTAGTCTTCTCCACAACTAGATATGCCTCTTGCACTTACTTATACACACTCATTAATCATTTTTAATAATCCAGCTCATGTTTTTATCATTTGGTTAAATTAATGATTACTTCGAGAAACTTCTAGAAAATGTTCAAGAATAGACTGGTTTCAGTAAACTCACTTTAGCTTTATCCCTGAAAGCAGCTGGAAATGGAGAATTCCTTCCCAAGAGAGCTCCATAGGTGGGGTCCATAAAGACCAAAAAGCCTTAATTGGGTATTTGGACTCAGAAGAATCATCCCTATTTAGCACAGCACTTAAAATGGATTTTTTGGGGCTTACATTTAATTTGAACTGATTTAAACCTCTCAGATTTTCAACATGCTTTTCTCCAGATAGTATCTCAGTGTTAGAGAGGTATTTGGTGGTTTTTTAAAAGATTTCCAGTTTCCTCATGTTGTCAAGGAGCAGTGACCTCAGTAAGCTGTCCTGCTGCCTTCTGACTGATGATGCTTAGGAGTGGCAGAACAAAAGAGAGAATCCTGTACACTGTGATTTTCACAGGACAGGGGAAGGAATGTTGTTCATAGTGTGTTGTCATAGCACTCTGCAATTCTCTGCTGCAGTAAAACATGTAAGAAGTTGCATTTGATGTTCTTGTTATGTCCTTGAGATAAATACTTGTGCATGTTAACATGCACACACGTATATGTATGCATATGTGCATATAAAAAAACCTCACATAATAGTTTGGTCCATATCCAGGTTGATTTAAAAATATACACTAAGTTCAAGTTCCATTCCCTATAAACATCAGGCCTGGAACTGCATTTTAGGTTCAGCTACCTGGGCAAAAGGATGCTATTCGATAGGAGGCACAGCATCCTTAACTGAGTCCTGAAAGGTGGTAGAATCAGGCTGATCACCAGATTTTGGGAGGTTTCCAACATTTTCCAAATGATCAAGCATTGTGTCTGAATAAAACCAGGGAATTTTTTTCAGTAGACTGTAACTCTAGTTCTGGTATCCCCTTAAAAACAATTAAAAAATACCTTTTCTGTAGATATTACTGGTCATTGACTATGACAGACCCAGGAATTAGTGTGTTTTAATTCTTTTCTATTGCCAGATGTTACACAGGAGCATTCTGGTTACACAAATTTAACCCAGTGGACTGTCTGGAAGGAAAACGATTTTCTAGATTGTTGTTGCTCTTTGATTATCACCTACACTATTTTTAGAATTCTGAGTATACCTATTCCATATCTGACTTTGCAACATTTTTGTGGGTTTCTGTGGGATCCTGCATTTGCATTTTTTTGCTCTATAGTAAAAAAAAATAAATTAGTCTTTGCAATATCACCATTCTACTATTTTGGAGGCTGCTAATGCAGACGTTACAGGGTCTGTTTCAGCAGAGTTTGTTTTTCTTATTCATTTAATAATCTTTTTTTTTTTTTAAGCATAACCTGCTCAGGCTGGGAGCTTTCCAATGATCCTGCAGATGTCCCACAGCTATGGCTATGGTTGCTGCTTTTGTTGCTATGATTGCAGACAGCTGTAGTGGTAGCGTGCTTCAAGAAAGAAGGAACAATACATCACATGCAACAAGCATTACTGCACTCAGTAATGTGATTCCCCCCCCCCCTTTTAATTGTTTTAACACAAAGCCAACTGCTTGAAGATGGATGCATTAATGTCTTTTTGCTCATATTTCATGGCAAATTAATTACAATCGCAGTTTGCTTTACTCTGGCTGTAATTCTTTTTTCTCCTTGCACACTGTGCTGCTGATCAGTTTTGAAGGCTACAACAAGCTAAAAGCACACAGGACTCATGGCATCTTTGACATGGAAACAAGAGCTTCCCATATTAGGCACTGCTAGAGCTGCACAGGTAACTCGTTTATAGTTAAGGCACCAAACATTTTACCTGTGATCCGACACCATTTGCTTTAAATGCTGTTTTGCTCTGAGATTTTATCAGCAGTCTGGGACTTGTGTAATTACTAGTAATAAGCTTTTCCATATCTGATCATTCATGCAGTATAAGGAAGAGGTTTACTCATTCTGCCCAGAGGCTGAGCCAGCAGAGACAGCAAAGCTAATGTGATTCATTGAAGGAAGACAGTGGACAATTACCAGCAACTTGTTCACATTTTTGCCTTGGACAGCCTAAGCTGGTAAGTCAAATTTAACTCTTTAATGCATATATTCTTAATTATTAGTTTCAAGTGTAAGATGGTTTCATAAACATACAGTGTGGAGTGGTTTCTCATCTGTTGTGTTTTCCTAAAATCCGAAGTTAATGTTTTTACAGTTATTCTGTGCCCTACCAGTGCACCTGTCTATGTAGTTTTGCATATATGTGCCACAGACAACAGAGAGTGAGGTATAATTTAGGTTTGGGGGTTTTTATCTCTCTCTGCAATATTTTTTTTAAAAGGACATGAACATTAGGTCAGTATTTGGCAATTAAAAAAAAAGCTTTTATAAGGGCAACTATTTCATATTCATTTGTATTTGAATTTGAATTTGAATTTGAAAGCACCCTGATTAAGGGAAATAAAATGATTACTTCAGTGCTTAGAAGGGCAAGCAGAAATCCTATGACTGAGATTAAGCTACAGGATGTGCAGCATGAAATGTGTGTGGGGAGCCCTCGGTCCCTGGTTTGGCACAGGCAGGGTGACAGTCACACAACCAGACTGGTTTGGTGGGTATTTCCAGGGTTGTGCAGAAACTGTTTCCCCAGGGAGCTGCCATAAGCCTTCTGTGGGTTTTAATTCTTGGAAATGCAAACTGCTGCTAATCATGAACAGTTAAAAGGGGAGCTGCTGCTGTCATTCTGTCGAGTTCTGCCTTGTACTGAGAGACCTTGGGCTGTGCTGCTTGTTGCAGTTCTCCACTTGCTGTGGGAATACAAGTTGGACCACATATCTCCAAACCAGAAGGAGATGTCCTTTCTTCATCCTGACCTGTGTCAGCTTTGTGCAGAGGCTTCCACAGGTGAAAAATCAAATGGATCAGTTCTGGCCATCTCCTGTTTCTAAATTAGTCTTTGATGTGCTGTAACAATTTTCACTGTGACAATGATTTATCCTGAGGCTAAGTGCATTCCAGCTGGGGGATTTGTTATTTCGAGACAATATATATATTCAAGACAATGCACATTTCAGGACTTCACTGATTGTTGAGGTAAGGATTTGGTTGTAAAAAAATCCAAAATTAGTAACTTTAAATGGAGCCTAATACTGCTCTCACGAAATAGTTTATGTAAAAACAAAATGACAACATCCAGAACCCCCCAATGCTTACCATCATAGAATCATGGGAATCAAGATTTTTTTTTCCTGTTTTCTTATTATGTTTTTACCCATGTTTTTGCCCTATCTCATTCACATTGCTCTCCTGGGAGTTATTTCTACACCATAATAAGATCACACTTGCAGAAAGTTTTCCAGAATATGCAACCTAGCTTTCTGTTTTTCATTTCATACCCTTGTATGTGACTAGAAAACATGCTAAGTATGATAATCTGCAGTAGCATTTTGCATCTTACTGTTTCAGTACAGTGGTGAAAAAATGCAGTTCATTTGCAGTATGTTATTCCAGCTGTTGCTTTATTGTTCTGTGTTTATTCCCTGCACTAATCCAGGATGCTGATGGGGAGTACACAGGAAACATTTCTGCGTTTCAAGTCATTTGTGATGCCGCAATTCTGTGTGGATGGCAAAGATGCCACCTGTTTTATTGTTGAGTAGCTGCAATTTTTCAGCTGCAGACTCACCTGCTCTAGGCTTAATAGAAACTTTGATGAGATTATAAGTGATTCCATTGTCTTCTTACGTGTGTTTCAGTCTTGGGGGTCTGCTCTGGCCATCTACTGACAAAGCTCCCATGTGTAACAGGGACAGTCTTGAGGGTGTTTAGGTTTGCATGGTAAATGCAAACTGTTCTCTCCCTCCTGAGTTTACTACTGACTGTGTGGTATTTGGTATTCAATGACTGTACTCTTGAAATCAAATTATTTTGGGAAATTGAAACTTCCTTTGCAAACATGCCTATGGCAATTATTGGCCTATTTTTATCCACAATTTGGGACTGTGTCTCGACCCATACTTCACTGATGGTAGGGAGAAATTCTTGAAAAAAGATGTAAGAGGAGAAATTTATGTGGGATAATCTGTAGCACTATATAAAAATAGAAACTGGAAGTGTTATTCTAAGTAACTATTCTAAATGACATTATCGTTAAATTTGGTAAATCGCTGAGTTTCTTTAAAATACTAATAACATAGAAAAGTGGAAGATGGGTAATCATTTTATTCCATAAGCTCGGAGAAAATCAGTCCAAAATCTTTGCAGTATTGAGTGCCAGAAAGCTCTTTTCTCATCATATCCACACTTGCACATTAGTTTCAGGGATGCAGCTCACATAATTCCCACCTGATTGCACACACTGTTGTTCTAATTTAACAAAGTCTTCTCATCACACATGACAATTGTGTTGACTCTGTCTCTCCTCATTCAGAGTCTTGGTCTCCCTTTAATACACCGTGCGTGTGGAGAATATGTGAGATTACATAGAATCAGATACTTTTGTGCTCAGGGTGTCTGCTCACCACAGTGTAAAAGTGAGAAAGAAAGACATAGACAGGAAAGAAGGAAATGTGAAGAAATAGTGCATTTTTTTCACCTTTTTACTTCGGGATCCCTGGGGATAGTTTCTTATGCCTGAAGTTGGGTCAAATCTGATTCTTACCTTGCCTTCAGAAAGGCAAAATTATTCCCACATAAAGTACTTCCAGAGTTAAATATTAACTCAATTTTTCCTAATATGGAAAAATTACTGTAATCATAGAGCATAGAAAGTATTGTTTAATTATGAGATAATATGGAAATCTCATTAGGGTAGGCAGTCAAAGGCAGCAGTCCCTCTTGGAAGGGTTTGTGGTCTGAATGGAGAAGGCAAACACAGAGCAGGATAAAGTGATATACAGATAAAACCACTGCCTGTCCACTAACTGAGGAAGAAACCACTCAGTATGAAACTGTAAACAGCAACATTTAATTTGGGTGTCATCTTTTCTGACACCTGCACATCAGAACTCACTCTGCAAAAAGGCTGTTTTCCTCATTAATCAAAACCCCTTCTCCTTACACAAATTGGCGAGTAATTTTGAAGTGGTCTGTTTTATTTTTGCCCTCCTTAATTCCCCCTCCCGATACATATTCCACGAGGAGCAATTTGCCCCCGGAAAAGCCCAAAAACATGGGCTCTAAGTGCTCATAGACCCAGGGTGAGGTTCCAACCACAGCAGTCTTGCCTTTCACCGCCACAGCCCCCAGCAGCGGTGTGGCAAAACCTCGTTAAGCAGCTGCTGCTTCTCTTCTAGAAACTCCCAGAAATGACGCAGCAAATGCACAGCCTGAGTCTCCTCCAGACCAAGAAGCACAGCATGCCCTCCTCTCCCAACGCGGCCAAGCGCCTCTACCGGAACCTGTCGGAGAAGCTGAAGGGCAGCCACACGTCCTTCGACGAGGCCTATTTCCGAGCTCGCTCCGACCGCCTCAGCCTCCGGAAGACCTCCATGGTAATTACCTGATCTCTATCAACTCGCCAATTTACTGTCCTGGTAATCTCCTCAATCACTTTCCTTTCTATATGCCCACTTTTCACCATCTCGCTCCTGTTCCCCGACCAGCGCTGTGTGCTCTTCATGGCCTCACCGTTCGTACGCCCTTTGTAAGTCACTTGTAAGAATTTATTTGAAAATAGAAGTCTGCCCTTCTTGAAGGCTAAGGACGGGCTGCCTTATGCAAGTGATGATGCTTTATTTTAGGAGTAAGGTTTTAATTTGGCATCAAAGTGACCAAATGTGAATTAAACTGAAGATGGCTTAAATAGAAGTTCCCGTTTTTCCAAACAACACAGCAAGTGGAAGTTGCAGGCGTGACAGATAAATGTAAGGTTGTTCAGAGACTGTGGTGATTTCTTTAGTTAAGACTGTGAAAGAAGGAGATCACGCATGGAGCAGTCTGGCCTGAGCACCCAACCCAAATCACAGCCAAGCACTCTGCTGCCAGCACTGCAAAGCACATGCTGGATTTAATCCTCACAAGGGCTCCTGTTTCTGCCAGTGCTGATGAAGGCACACAACCCTCAGTGCACAAATTTTGAAGAATGGCCTGAGTGTCCCTGAAATAACACCACAATGTAAGTTCAGTGCACAGCAGAACTTTTTGCTGCAGGAAGATGAACCTGCTGTTGATATTGAAAAAAGAAAAAAATTTCCCCTTTTCCATAAGTAGGAAGAACATCCTTCAAGTTCTCCTCTGAATTATTTATTTTGAAGGAGAGAGGTCCTCTCCACTTCTGAAGAGCAGTGACTAATGGCAGTGTCTGTGAACGCACCAGCAGATGCCTCTTGGAACCACTTCTGTGCTACACTAGAGCAGATGTTTATCACAGGGCAGGAGTAAACTCTGAGTGCGATTGGACCAGATAACAAAAATATTACATTTTGTCAGAAGGAAAAAGCCCACTCTAGAATCCTTTAACACTCACAAATCTTTGTTATGTACGAGACATATTGTATGAATCAATGCCAGAATTGAAAATGAATTTAAAATCAAGTGGCAGATGCTGTCTCCTAGGATCCTGCCTTCCTTGAAGTCACAGGACCCATTGAGAACGTTGTCTCTCTCCTGTGAAGAAAGACCACGACCTGAAAGAAGAAAGGGATTGTCACTGCTTCCCTCAGCTCTGCCAGAGCCAATAGATTCTTGTTTTACAGGAGAAGCCTGAAACTCAAACAGGGCTTGAGAGCTGGAAAGCAGCCTTTGCATGGGAGCCAGCAGCTGTGCTTTTTGAGGCTGTGGGTTTCCAGATGCTTTTCAGTTTGTAGGGATGATTTCAATTGGGGTCTCAAACTATGAACTGTGGGAAAAGATTCTTTAGATGAATTTTTTTAGCCACTATCTTTTCCTGCCTTTTTTATTTTTTTTTCTTTAATTGCAAGCTTAAGTGTGACTAAGTGAGGGAACAAGGAGGATAAAGTAGTGCTGGGGACCGTGCCAGAGCAGACTGACATGCAGACTGAATGAATGCCAGTCTGTCAGCATATCTTCTGACCAGTGTTTCTCCAAATACACACTTCAAATTACATATTCCTTCAAATATGGGATCTTCTGTCATACTTAAGTAATGAGAAGAGAAATTGCCAATGAGCCCAGCCAGAAGATTGAGGAGCAGGGCACTGCTGCTGAGGGCTGAGTCCTCTGCTAACCACGCCAACTACTTACAGTCTCACTTCTGTCCCTCCTCGCTCCAGATCTGTCAGGTGCTGGGAGTGCCTGTTCAATCAGTCATCATAGCTGTGAGACTCGATTTCACCTTGTGATGTGGGTGGTGTTTAATGGGATACAGACTTACTTGTGCTCACTTTGTTTCCCCAGCCCACCCCACTGCCATGGGGGTGTCACAGCTTTTATCACTGCTGACCTGCAGCGAGCAGAGGTACCTGTAGGTCCTGCCAGTCTGGGGGCTGAGCTGGTGCCCACAACACTCAGTGAACACATCCCCACTGAACTCAAGAGGGTTTGGATGCCATTCTATCCATCCTGCTTGTTGTTTTCCCAGCTTTGCCTGCAAATAAATAGCGAGGGTTGGAAATATTCCAGGTCAAGTTGCTGACTGATGTATTTTCTAATCATTGAGTTTCTGTGCCCCAGAGCGAAGTCGATGAGTAAAATCATGTCTCCAGACAAGTGAGCAACATTTGTTAGAATTTGTTTTCTTTCAGCTTTGGCTAGTGAAGAGTTTTCTTTCCACTCTCTCTTGCTGTGCCACACTTTCCATTCAGTAAATTGTTGTCTTGCTGCAGACATAGCAATGTCCCAAAATAGTTTTATTCTTGAACTCATGTTTATCAAAACAAGTCTTTGCAGAAACTACTTTACCACTTTTTCCAACTCCAGTAGCACATAGTGGACTTTTTCAGTCAAACCTAGAGCAAATAGCTTGAAAGGGGCACTTCATTTTAATTAAGCTACATAAGATTGCATTTCTAAACACTCTGGCACTGAATCACTTACTGGAACATGGTTATTACTTACTGCAAAGCAATACTGTAGTCCTTTTCAGTATATACATTTGTGCATCAGAGTAACACCTAAATAAATTAATCACATAGCACAGCTGTCCAGCTAATGATTAGAGGCTGCAGGACTGAGTCAAGGAAAAAGCAACGTAAAAACTTCTCCTAAATTTCTTCCAATCACTTCTAAATGTGATTCAGTTTCTCTTTGAATTCAGTGGTTTTGTCCTTTCAGAGCAGAGGAAAGTTATCTAGTAAAGGTAAATGAAGGCAGAAATCAGAAGGCTCTTGTTGGTATTTGTGACAATACCAGCTGGACTAAAATTGAGCACCTGGGTCTGAAGATATTGCCCCTTACCCCTGTCTGGATTTCTTATCCTTGGGCTGCAGAAGTCTGAAAAACACTGGAGAGCCTTTCACATGGAATACAATCAGCTTTTTGCAGAAAACTATAAAATCTTTAAATACATTTCTGTTTTCTGTGTGAGAGCAAATAGGTGGAGAAAAGTTGGTCAGGTGTGGAGAATATTTTTCTGGACTTGGTGGATGCAAACTTCCAAATGGGGCAGTTCCCTGTCAGGGCTGAAGATGTAGCAGATATTTTGCTGCCTCTCCAGGATGTTTTTGACTGAAAAAGATCCAGCAAGGTTAGATGTGCACTGCTGTGTACATGCCCAGCCAGAAAGGCCATCTCACAATTCCCATGTTTTTACACTCTTGGAAGTCACAAGACTTGCCAACATATTTCAGCCCATGGCTTGTGTCTGAATTGTTCATTTGGAAAACCTGATATTTGCAATTTGATCTCATAATTGTTTGAGCTGGACGAAGTAGCTTATGATATTCATGCTCTGTTTCTCATTTAAATCAGTGCAGCTTTTTCAATCAGATTTCTAATGAAATGAAGAAATAGAAATTTGCTTTTATTTTGTCTCTTTTGGTGAAACAGTCTTGCCAACAGGTTAGTTGGCAAGAGTGTTTATGACAAATTAACTTAAACATGTGCTTAGATTCTGTTCAGCAACTTACTTAGGGCCAAAATTTCACAAATACTTCAGGTATTTCACTTGGCAAGCAAAAATCCAAAGATGCATCTGGGCAGGTCTAAATCTGCTGATAACTGAATCAAAACAACCCACAATCAAAATCAAAGTTTTTAAAAAAATTCTACAGTAGTCAGTCAGATAGGCAATATTTGTTGTTAAAGTGGGTGTCTATATATTTGAAAAGGACCAAATGTCTTTATAAGCCATAATCTGGGTTAATTTTAGCAGTAAAACCAAAGTTAACCATCTCTCTTTTTTTATTATTTAGCAGGGAATGTTTGTTTTTATATAATGCAAGAAACTCCTGATATGTAGCACAAGATTTCCTGAGTCTCACACAAAGTTGGAATTAAAGCCAAATAATGGTACTGAGCACTTAGGGTAGCACTCCACAAATGTTAACTCATTTAACTTTGGTGCACATATGTAAAGCAAATTAAAAGAGAATTACTATTCTGGTTTAAAAAAAAAAAAAAAAAAAAAAAAAAAAAAAAAAAAAAAAAAAAAAAAAAAAAAAAAAAAAAAAAAAAAAAAAAAAAAAAAAAAAAAAAAAAAAAAAAAAAAAAAAAAAAAAAAAAAAAAAAAAAAAAAAAAAAAAAAAAAAAAAAAAAAAAAAAAAAAAAAAAAAAAAAAAAAAAAAAAAAAAAAAAAGGAAAACCATGTGCCAGAGACAGGAAAATGTGAAGAGAGAAGTAACCACATTCCTGTCACTCAGTGACAGCTTTACCTTTTTGTTCTGCTCTCAGACCGTTTCCAAAAATGAACTTAACTAAAAGAAATGCAGACTTAATGTAGTAATTTAGTTTCCTTCAACAAATTCCCTATGTAATAAGCTCTTGATTAATTTACTGCTAAAAAAGTAGATTTTCCTAGATGAGATTAGCTGTAAGAGTAATATGATTTAGCTTGTTTTCTGATTGGATCAAAATGCAGATGATTCTGAAGCAAAATTATCCTGTATTTCCACAAACAACAGTAGAGAAGAACTTCCAATATCAGTAGTAGGAGCTGATGGTATACAGCAAGAATCAGAATCATATTATTAACTAAAATATGTTTTAATTATAATTAAAATTACTTAAAATTCTTGTAATCTCTAGCCAGATCACTTCATGTTTCGGAGTAGGCGCAAAACACCAAAATAAGAGGAAGGTCTCTGATAGCGAGATTACAAGGTGTTATGTAAGCAAGACATCAGATGTGTGGAGCTACTGGAAGGAAAAGAAAATATTGCTGCATTGCAGTAAAAAGTTCTGTCATGTTCTAAGTTTCACCTTATAATAAGACAGATATGTGCTGTCTTCTTTGCTAACATTTTCTGGACATGTGCTCTCATTAATGACAGTGCAGGACCTTAGAGACAATTTTATTTCTTGAAGAGAGGGGTGGATAAAGAATGATAAATTGAGATGCTCACCATCCAACTCTCCCTTTTTCTGAGGTTTTTGTCTCTGAAGTGTGGTCTAAGTGTTTGACAATAAAATTAAATTTGAATCTTGCAATCCAGAGAAGAGTCTAAACCCAAGGATTCTGCAGAGCCCCAGGATTAGCACTGATGTTTAGGCGGCATCTTTTTATTCTGGGTGGAAATCTACGGAAAAAATCTCTCTCCAGCATGAGCTGTCTTGTACTTTAGTCTCTAAAAGGGAGATTCCCAAGCCAGCACAACTGTCCCAGAATTGCTTTATTCCTGCATAGTTCCTCTCATCCCTAGACAGCCATATGGGATGGGAATCTCATTTCTCTACACTGGCAATTTTGGGGAAAGATCATCCAGTGTCCGTCCTCCTGTTCTGCTGATCCCTGACATCCAGCACAGGTGGGGTCCATATGAAAACTTTTAGATAACATGATCTTTGCAGTTTCTTAGTGTGGCACCAACACTTCACATGCCAAACAGTTGAGCAGGAGATCCCTGTCAGGCCTGGGAACTTCTGAAGACACTTTTAACTTTCAGCAAAGTTAAAAACCCTCCAGAACTATCACATTCCAAGGTGTAGCTGTGGACTCTCGTTTCCAGAACTGCTTGCAACCCATTAGCCCATCGATTTTAGGAGACAAAAGATGTTCCAGCAGGTCAGTGCTCTTTCAGAAAGTGTTATTTCACTGGCAGCAAAACTCAGGCAGGGATCTGCCAAACAAAACCACATCAATTTAAAAAAGAAAACGAAGTTTTGATGTGGTTGAAATGTTAATTTCTAATCACACTAGAAGACAATTTCAATTTAATATTTATTTCACAGGATAAAGAATACATTGTATGATAAGAATTTTCTCTGTGGTCCCTCCATGTGGTTTCAGGGAATAGGGAGCAGGTTCACATCTCGTATCTGGATCAGTTGCTCTCTGATCCTTTCACTTCTTTAGCTCTGCCCATGAGCAGAGCACATCTACCCAGATCTCAGCTCCTCTGCATGCTGAGCCCTCCTTGCCTGCCTGGGCCTCTTGCTCCTGCTAATTCATTCCAAAGAGGGGAGAAACCCTATTGGGTAATTATGGCAATGGGACACTGGGAGAGAATTTAAAGAATCTTGGCAGATACCATGTCATTACTGTAGCTCCAGAAGGATGTTCTCAGAACAGAAACCTGCAGGCCACGCTACTCTCCTGCACCTGCTTCTCCCCAGCTCAGTTAAGGAACAATAGGTGCCTTTGTGTTATACCATTTTTTTATCTCCTTGATGTTGCTAAGGAAAAGGTTCAGTGGTTCTCCCTGCTTGAGGGGCAGTCAATTTTTTCAGTCTCCTTTCTACATCCTTTTATGTATTTCAAAGCTTCTTCCAGTTACAACTTAAACACAAGAACATGAACACCTCTAAATGACCGAAGTGGGAAAATGGTCAATACCTGTTGCTGGCTCACACTGGAACTGGGGAGGTTTTCCTCCAGAACAGCTTCTTTGATTTGGATTTTGATCACCTGAGTTTGTAGATTTTTACTTTAAACTTTGAGTTTGAAAACTCAGTAGTCCAAGACACTGACAAAATCATAGCGTAGCATCCCATTTCCCACTGAAAACATATAATGTTACTGATATAATTTGATTACAGGATAGATGCCTACACAAGCATGGGTTTGTTTCATATGGCTTTGAATCTCATGTGAATCTTCCCATAGACCTGAATGAAGTTCAACAGACCAAGCCCAATTCTGCTGCAAACAATTGCCCTTCTTCTAACTGAACCTAAGCTGGGGCTGGGGGATCAATATTATACAGCAATCTCACAAAACACAAATCTTCTCCATTTATTTTTAAGGCACTAACAGTTGAAAAGTTTTACTGAATTTCTGTTCTCATTGATACACAGAATTTCCAGTGCAATGAAGCAATGTTTGAGGCCGTGGAACAGCAGGATCTGGATGCTGTTCAGATTCTTCTTTATCAATACACACTGGAGGAACTGGACCTGAACACACCAAACAGTGAGGGACTAACTCCTCTGGATATTGCCATTTTGACAAATAATGTCCCTATTGCTAAGACCCTTCTGCATGTTGGGGCAAAGGAAAGCCCACACTGTAAGTAAAGAGCACAAACTGACTTCGATAATTGCCTGTAAGAGATCAAGTTTGCCGTGGTTTGGGGAAAGTAATTACATGATGCACAAAAATTGTCTGGTTCTATGATAAGGATGATGATAACAGCACAGTACCACAGTGCTGGGGGATGTTTGCAGCAATATCTGCTTGTTGAATCCATGCTCAGGAGATATTTTTGTTCTCTATCTCAGATACACCAAGTGATGAATCAGATCGAGCTTCTAATGTGATTAACGCTGGGCATCTGAGTTAATACCAATACTGAGAAAAAAAAAAAAAACTTTAAAAATGCAGAAACAGGGACTGAATGATTCAAAGATCATGGCCTGAAATGTAGAGTTTGTTATCAAAAATGAAAGGATGCTGGGTTGTCTAGACTTTGGTTTGTTTTGATTATCCTTTTGATTTTGGCTATGCTGCCTTCGGGAGACCAGTTGTGTTGAAATCTATAATTTCCATTACCCAGAGATTCCTCACTCCTGGTCTTCAAACAGCCTAAAAGAAAACCTGAACACAAACTAAACCTTCTCACTTCACTGGAATACCAATACTGCTCATAACTACATATTGTAGTTATAAACTCCTTTGTATTCCTTCGTGGGCCCTTTTATGCACAATCTGCAGGTTGAAGGGTGACTTTTACCGACCCAATTAATCAACCCTATGCCATGACACAAACTGTGACGCCTTACTTGGGTCTAAAAATACCCCCATGTATGAGAATTTGTTTGGAACTGTCAATGCCTATATTTAGGACATTCCCAGCAAGGCTATAATGAGACTGTGTTTGAGGGGTTCGGCCACTGCAGACTCTGCCATTAATTTGAAGTTAGTTAAATTAACAACATTTAGTGCTGGCATGTCAATCTCAGTGCTCCAGGAAATTGCACCTTGAGGCTACTAACATTGCCAGTTTTTTTCACTGCAGAGTGTGTGTGCATGTGCATGTTGAGTTTTTTTTGCCAGACCCTCAGTGTTGGTACACCTTTATTGCTTTTCTATATCCACAGCACTTATATTATCATTTATTCTGGCCTCCTTTAACCCTCCCTGGAGATTTTTGCATAGTGTAGCTGCTCAGTGAAAAGAGTTTTTTAGTTTTATATTTATTTGTTTATTTTTCTGTCATGGTTCATGACTGAGGCTTTAAAAAAAAAGTGTGACAGCATTTAGAGTACATGATTGACTGCTGAAGCAACATTCATTAACCATGACAAATCTAGAGGAAAACACAGTCTTGAGTGTTCTAAACAGCAGTAAAAAAGACTAAACTAATTTTTCATTGACCTCATCTGTAAATAAATGCAGTCTGATGGCGAGCAGGGGCAATCATAAATTAGTATTCATTTCCTGTAATTAATGCAAACATGCCTATGAACACAGAGAATATGAATATATAACCACCTCATTTCCATTTCAAAATATACCCACCAAATTTCCACTTCACTTATCTTGATTTTTAGTTTTTTCTGATTGAAATAATGGATGAAGCATTCTCAATAAAAAGCAAACGATTGTTTGGTTTGGGTTTCTTACCTGGAGGGTTTGCAGTTGCTACTTGAGAGCAAAATGCAAAAGGTTTTTTTCAGCCCTCAAAACAAGGGTTCACAGCACCTTTGTATGTGGCTTCATTCCCATGGAACTGATACCAGTCTCTTTGTATCTGCTTTCTGTACTTCCCCAACCCTGTTCAAACCAAATCTGTTCTGTTTGTATCAGCTCAGAGCTGCAAGAACATGACCCAGCGCCCAGCAGGAGCATTTCCCTTTCTCCATGATGGGCACCTGAGCTGAATGGGAGGGTAAAATCTTGACCCACCCAATTTGGGGACTGCACACAAGCATCTCTTGATCTGATTAGAACTGTATAGGACAGGCTGCAAGATAGAGGAATTCCCCATTCCAAGTGCTTCCTACGGAGAAAACTCCTGCTCTGCCACTATATTAGGTGCAGTGATCCAGCTGAAATCTCATTATAGCCCCCAGCCTAATGCTGTAGAAAAGAGGATCTGGAGGACAAATAACTTCCATCTGTACCCCTTGGATTTCTGCCTGGAAGAGGAACAGCAGCAGATAAAGCAATAGAAAGTAAAACTGTGATCTTCATCTCCACATGGAGCTCAGATTGTATAACTCTTAACAGGAACCCAACATCTTTTAAACACAGAGCAACTAAAGTCAGGGAGTGCAGCATTTAAAATATTAATTTAGTTGGGGAGGAGGCAAAGCCCACTGTGTTATCTTTTCAGTTATTCTTATTCATCATATACTCATGGTTTGGCTTGTTCTTGTGAACCCAAATAAAAAATACGATTAAAATTCCCACTGGCTGATTGGATGCATTTCCAAGACCTGACAAATGTGAATGTGAATCTTGATTAAACAGATAGAGCCAGATCCTTGGTGAGCGTTTGAGCCAATGCCAATTCTCAATCACCTGAAGTTCTGGCACATAAAATCTCCTTCCCCAGTCCTGTTGTGCTGTCAGATGTGTTGCACACTTCTCGTAGGCATGGATCCAGGAAATCCTATCACCTTTGGCCCCCCAGTAAACAAGCAGTTCTGAGGATAGCAGCAGATTCCAGCGAGCCTGGCCATATGTCCCTGATGTCCATATGAAGAATGATCCAACTTAAGAAGGCTGGATGCAAGCCAGCTTCTGAGAGCAAAGTCTTAGAGACAAACATCCTTCAGAAACAGCCCTTTGGATGTCAGAGGTGTTGGGTAATTCTCTGCTCTCCTCCTGTGGCTTTAGAGATGCCAGGGCAGTTTTCACAGCAGTCCATGGGGTTATTCTCAGACTCTGCTAAACTTTGACTGTCAGTTATGAGAGACAGGGGGAAAAGTTAAAATAAGAAGTTCAGATTGGATAAAACAAACACTCTTTTTACCATAAGGAGAGTGAAGCAGTGGAACAGGTTGCCTAAAACTGATGTAAAGCCTTTATCCATCCTGGAAAGTTTTCAAGACCAGCCTGGACAATGCCTTCAGTAAATTGGTCTGACCTCTTGGCTGAGCCTATTTTGAACAAGATGGTTGGACCAGAGGAGGTCCTTTTCAATCTGATTTGTCCCATACAGTTTGGAAATAGCACATTTGTATCTGCAGACATATTCGCTCCTGTGGTGTTTTGATGTCAAAAACCCATCAGAGCCTCGGTGCTTTATCTGGTACAATTTGATGTTTTTAGAAATGTCTGGCTTGTGCAAATCAGTGCTCAGTGCAGGCTGTGCAAGATTCCTGCTGTTCCTGTGAAATCCTGGGGGAAACAAGAGCTGTCCTTCCATAGCAAGCCCCCACCATTGCTAAGAGAAGCTGCATGTGGTAGGGCACTGGTTTTGGTAAACAGAGGCCTTTTAAATTAGGACTATCTCAGAGCTCTTCTGCAAAAACACCAGACACCAGTTATTTTCTGGGATTTCAGCATTCCTTCTCCTGTACACAATTTCCTGCATACTGAACATCCAAGCAGTACTTGCATTTCTTTTGAGATTAAACAATGTTACAAGTCCTGTTTTCCAAACTGCAAATTGTTCTAACAATCTTAGGCTAAGAGCAATTCTGAAAATATTACTTGATTCACCACATTTCACTGTATAATCAGGGAGGTTTTATAATCTCGTTTAGGGCAGTCTTGTGAACTTGGGCTAAAATCAATCCTATTTTAGTTTGTAACCTATGTGATCTTCATTTTCACCTTTATGTAGTCCGCAGTAGTTCACACAGGCAATCTGAACTGCTAAGCATCAAATTAAAAATATCCTGAGCACCAGAGAAAAAAAATCTCCATGTCTCAAGCTGCTCACAGCCTGTTCAGAGGACTAATTAGGTATTACATGGGCAAAACTGGCACATCAAAAACCTGGAAAGGGATCCATTCTCTACCAGCCATGGCCCTCAGGCACAAAACTCTCAATCTTAATTTTGTCAATTAGATCTCTCTTTGCTTGTAGAGGTTTATATATTGTATGTGTTTATAACCAGGTTGGGGTTTTTTTGTGAAAGCTTATGATATTATAGCAAAGCAGGGGTTAGAGAGAGAAAAGTTATTATTTTAGTCTGGTTTTCACATCCCACCAACTTAAAACACGTACACAACTTCAGTCTAATTAAGACATTCTTAAGCATATGAGAAAATACCAGCAGGAAAAAAAAAAAAAAAAAAGTGCTAAATTTATTCATGTTGCTAATCCCACTTAAGTGGCCAGATCTTTAAGTGGTATAAATTGGCTCTAATCCACTTGATGACAAGATAACTACCGGAAGGCAGAGCATTCGAGGATTTGACCTTAGACGTGCTTTGCACGGATATGTATTTCACAGAATTTTGCCACCGCCAAAAAAATGGTGGTGACAAATCTTTTCCCCCCCCCTATTTTCTTGGCAGTTGTTGACATGGAGAGCAGGTCGGTGCATCTGAGCACGCTGGTGCAGGAGGCGCAGCAGAGAGTGACGGAGCTGTCTGCCCAGGTGGGGAACGAAGGCCTGGGCATCGACACCACCGAGAGGGAGAAGCAGCTGAAGGCCTGGGAGTGGAGGTCGAGGCTGTACCAGCGCATGAAGGCCGGCTACGAACACGCCCGTGAGTGAGAGAAAGGGCCAAAATTCTCCACGTAAACCCTGCAGCTGAGAACATCCTGCAAAGGTGCTCTCACTGACTGACCCTCCCAAAGGTGCTCTCACTGACTGACCCTCCCAAAGGTGCTCTCACTGACTGACCCTCCCAAAGGTGCTCTCACTGATTGACCCTCCCAAAGGTGCTCTCACTGATTGAGCCTCCCAAAGGTGCTCTCACTGACTGACCCTCCCAAAGGTGCTCTCAGTGACCCTCCCAAAGCTGCTCTCACTGACTGACCCTCCCAAAACTGCTCTCACTGACTGACCCTCTGAGGTGTAACACGAAAAGACCTTTCCAAGAGCAGGAAGGGAATTGATGTTAGAACGGTAAAGGACCAAATATCTGAGGGCAACAAGAACATGTCTCCTCAGGATTGGGCTGCATAAATTGATGAAGCCTCCAAACTCCTGGTTTGGGGTGTAATGATTCTGTCCTGCTTAGTTCTCTTCACGTTTACCCCTGGATCTCATTTACCATGTTGAGAGTTTAAAGCCAGATGACTAGAAAAGAACACACGAACAGGCAGGAAGAGGGATGGGGATGTTGTCCTTTTCTCTGCCGTGATTTGATTATTGTTCATAAAAACTTTTTCTGTTTTAGAACAGAATTCTTCTAAACGTTTGGTCAAGCAATGAAATTTCATTTTGCATATAAATATTGTGAAAATTTACTCTTAATTTTGGTGACCACTTGGTATCCATCTCATCAGCTCAGTCACAAACTGAGTCACTTTAAAATGTGTACCCAAAGTAAATGGGAATTTGGGCCCATGGGAAGGAGTAAACAGGACTGAATTGTTTCACATGGAGATCTTTTAGCTGTATCCTATTTGATGAAATACAATCATTGCCATTAACATTTTTACAACCATCTTTATATAAATGTACTTACAAATAATTTCCCCAAATTTATTGTATTCTAAGGTTACTTCTTCAAGACAGATGTAGTGCTCCTTCTATTAGATACTAAATACAGGAAATGCAGCAGTAGTGAAAGTTAATATACTGATTTTTTAAATCAATCCCAGCAGTAAGTCATGACATTATGTGTTTGATTTCTGAATTGAGTCTGATTGATATTCTGTGAATTAAGCTTTTTTTTTTCTTCTTTTTTTTTTAAACCAAAATGTTAGGCCTCAATTGACAGCAGTATTTTGGAACTATTACATGGAAACATTTGTGGAATTTGCAATTTTTGAATCATAATAATGTAAAAATGTTTTTTGCTATTTGATAAATTTGAGTTTGTTAGTGAAATCATAAAGGTTTAATTAGTTCTTTGTGGTTTTGTCCTTTCTCTCTCCTCCTATCCACCCCAAGAGATTTATAGGGGCTTTTCATTGACATAATTAGCATGAATCTGTTTTATTGGGTTACATATATGCAGGAAGATATTTTTAACTGAAAGGAGCCAAAAAAACCCATGATAGAAACAAATGGTGTCTGCAGGATATTGTTAGCAGGGGCACTAATTAAAATGCTCAAAAGGCAGAGAACACAAACACCTACAACTCGAAGCTCACAATTGCAGGGTGATTTTCAGGGGGTTCTTTGAAGACTCAGAAACATTGTTTGAATAGGATTTGTTGTGCTGAAGAGCTGATGTTTTCTCTTCTCTCCCAGGAGCCCCTGAGGCGCCAACCAATGTCTGTCTCATGGTAACAAGCAGTACATCACTCACTGTCACCTTCCAAGAACCTCTGAGTGTCAACTCAGCTGTGGTGACCAAGTATAAAGGTACTGGATTTAGACATCTTTCATTTGCCTTAACAATGTACAAAAATTGGAGGGTTAAGTGGCAAAGGTATTTATCTACACACAGGGTAAGTAACATTTGAATTTATTTTCCCAGTAAATAGCCATGGAAGCGGAATTTTCTTACAAGATTCCCCAAATACAAGATTTTTTATTAAAAAAAAAAAAATTAACCAAAAGCTTTCTTCAGGAGTGCTTTGAAGGAGTTTGTTTGACTCACTGTGGTTGGGACATCAGCTCAATGACTGGGTTGAGATGAGCAGTTACAAAACACAAACTAACTTTTGGTGCCTGTGGGCTCCTGAAACCATGTGTATCCTTGCAAAAGCCAAACCCACACCACCATTCCTTAAAGGAATGCCTCTGGAAGCTGAAACTTTTGGCAGAGGCTTCATACAGCCCAGCTAATTAGCTATTCCAGGGCTGCCACATCATTCTTGGAAGAGCAATACATTTGGGGTGGCACCAGTTAGTTGCAAAGTGGAATGAATAAGAAAATGCTTCCATCTGAATAGCCCTGTTGAATAGAAATGGTTTTAAAACAGAATTTCTGTTCCACAGGAAATTCCAACATTAAGGGGAAAAAAAAAAAAGTCTCATTGAAGATTTGAACAAAAAATGAGAAATTTTAAAATTTCCTGTTTAAAGGAACTTCCAGGTTCTCTCAAATGTTTGGAACAGTGAGTTCTTCAGTGCTAAGCACAGCAAGCCACAGCCTCCATCTTCCAAGTGGGAGCCCAAGTCAAGGGGCTGAGGATCTGAGGTTTTCTTTGCCCTGCCCAGGGGAGTCAGGGATGGGGACCCTCAAAGTCCTCTTAGTTATTTCCCCCAGTTTCTTTCTTAATGCTTCCTGTTGTATTTGTTTCTTTGTATTAATCACTAAAAACTCATTTCAGAGGTACTTTTACCTTAGATTTCCACAGCCATAGCAAGAACCCTCCTGGCTGCGTGGTAGGGGAGTCTGTTCCGTGTTTCCATGGGGGGTGTCACAGGGATTGTTTCAGCAGGAGAGATTCAGAAAGACCCATCGAGGTCCAAAAGCTCATGGAGCTCTTCCAAAGGTGGGATATGGCAGTGCAGGGGCTCCACTGGCAACAAGCACAAAGCGCCCGAAGGACTTATCTTGGAAAAGGTATATTCTCTTTCTTTCCTCCTCCTGCTTCTGGTCAGAGATTCCAGTCATCCCTGGCTATGCCCAGCAAAATAATTTTCTACATTCTGTGAAACAAACCCAACCACCCAGACACCACTGAAGCCATCAAAGTGATTCTATTCTTCAGCGGAAGGTAAATTACTGTATTACACCTAGTCAGCTGGGCAATGCTGCAGGAAGTGTGATTTTCAAAAACATCAAAGCCTTTTAGAAGCCTAAATCTAATTTTCAGCAGTGGCTTGGGTTGCCAGGAAACTAAATTTCATTTAAGGGCTTCCTACTGTCTGATTTACTTGTGAAAACAGTACTTGGGCTCCTAAAACACCGAAGTTCTCTTGAAAATACCAATTTGCTTTTTGTAATACATGTATTGTAAACAACCTTGAAATGTTGCCCCCTCCATTTATAATGATGGTTGATATTTTCACAGGAAAGCAGATTTCCAAACAGAGACAATTTTTAAAAACACTTGTCTAAGGGTTTTTCTCTTGGTTATTCATTTGAGTTGAGTCTGGTTTGTACCATGTCAGTGCTGACCTCTTTTTGGTCAGCACCACATTCAGAGAAATTTAATCCAACTTGACCTAACTTTCTAATCAGACCAGGTAACCTTGTCCTGTATTTTGAATTACCCTCACTGGTGATCATTTTATGCTTTATCAGGTTGACAGTTAGTCTTGCCAGAATGTTCCTTTTAAATCCATTATCCCCAGAGACTCGCATATTTATGGTTAGATAAAAAGGAAGGATCATTAATAGCTCCTTTTGGTGACTTTCGGGAATTAATTAAGCACTGGTTGTGGAATTGTTTATTACATTATGGAGTGAGATTCTTTGTGCTTAGTTTGAGGGGTCATAAAATGAACCTCTCAAATGATCACTTGCAAGAATGATTAGAACCAGCTAGCAATTACTAGCCCTGAAAGGAGAGCTTGATAACATTGTGTGAGGATCTTTTTAGTCAGATATATAAACCTCCTGTCCAGAAAACCATCGAAGCATTTTTCTAATTCAGGGGAAAAGAAAAAACAACAACAACAAAAAAAAGGCTTTTAAGGATTTTTTCCTCTCAATACTTTACCATTTCTTCTTCTAAGCAAATTAAGATTCAGGAGCATTTGCAGCAGCGTTTAGGGAATACCTGCTCATTAACAGAAGCTAATAATGTTCTTTTCTCTGGATCTGAACTATAGGGGATAAAAACTGACATTAATTCTGTTCAGTTTAGTTTAGTTCCCTGAAAACAGTGAGAAACTGCCAATTCCATTTTTTCTAATGCGTCATCTTTTTTTTTTTTTTTTTTTTTTTTTTTTTTTTTAATATATTCTTTCCAAAGCTGTATTTGCCCAAATGTCATTTAGAAACTGGGCTTGGAATGTTATCTAACTGTCTGCTGTTTTCCTGTGTGTGATCTTTTCCCTTGTTAGCTGTATAACTTACAAATAATAATACAGGAGAATAATACTTTGCACTCACTCTCCAACCACTAAAACCATCTCACTTCATTAGGAGATTTAATTTTAACCACACACGGTGAATGGGTATTGACTTTGGTGTCCCAGCTGGACGGCAGCTCAGTGACTGCATTCTGCTCAGCCATTGCTTTAAGGAGCCAGAATATTCTTTACTTCCTCTCCTGGATTGTTGTTTAATGTTGCAGGCACCATCCTAATGGCTCCCTTCAGCTTCCCTCAGGAGAAAGCTCCAGCGTGGTGGTGGCTGATGTGAAATGATTCCTAAGTATATTGTAACTTAGTAAAGTGTTTTGAGGCTGGAAGCAGACAGGCCTGACATAAATCAATAATAACAGTAATAATCTGCTCCGTGCTGGAGAAAGACTCCAAGCCAGGGACACCTCAGCCCAGCCAGTTTTAGAAAGGATGTGAAGCATCACTGTTACACTGAGAAGAAAAACCCCTGCCCTTGGCTAATCGTGCCCTGGAGCCAAACTCCACATCCCAACGCGGAGGTACTGACGGCCTGCTTTGGTTTTACATCTTTGAAAGCACAAGCAAAACGCCCAGCACACAGAAGAACTTTGCCCCACTTTGAAGCTTTCTGTGAGCTTTCTGTTTACACCATCGTATGGTTACTGCAGGAGCTGTTGTTATCCCAGAGCTACACCACTGGAAGTGGCTCCATGAGGAAAAAAAAAAAAAAAATCCCACTGCAGCATAATCCAGACAGACACCACTCGACTCCTGGGAACAGTCCCACTCGAGCCCAGTGGCAAGTGCTTGTAGGGCTTTTGAGAACTGTTGTCTTTCACTCATCAGCCTTTCCAGGGTTCACATGTTCCACACAACAGAGCCACACAAAGAAGCACCTTTTGTTAGAGAACAATTTTATAAATAATTTTAAGCAATTCTGTTGCACTTATTCTCGGTGCCTTTTAAAGATTATTATTTTGCTTTTACAGTGAATAAGTACAGATAAACCTCCTCGTATTGCATACTCTTTTTTTCATCCATTTCCCATCAGAAGTACTCATAATAATGCTGTGATCCCAAAGTATAAGATAAGGGAGAAAAATGGACATAGTGCTGATCATTACCTACTGGAAAGGATCACTATGCAATGGAAAAAAATCTCTGTTTAGATTTTATTAACAATTTTTAAACAAACATCTATATTCCCTTTTGGAACAAAAAATGAAGCAGCTTGTATAACCCAAGCTGAGCTAATTTATTTAAGAGCCTGGAACTATTTATGTTTGAAGAGAGAGGAAGAGAGACATGTTTGATGTAGCAAACAGAGCTAATCTTCTCTCTGTTTGGATGTAGCTGTGGACTTGGATGCCAAGGTTTTTTCCAGATAATGATGCTAAGCTGTCTAGGCCACTTTAGCCCTTGTTACCTTTTGTTTATTTTGGTATTTTAGCAGAATATTTCATGTTTGTCAAGACTGCCCAGCTTCCCTCTAGGATTGCTTTTGGATGGAGAAAAGATTT